GTCTGTCAGAGATCCAGAAAAGAAAATATGTCATTTTTAGCAGGTCAGCTGTGGAATAAAAAGAGCTGCTAAATGTATAACTTCATTTCTGGACATGTATGGTTTGATTTCTTTGTATGTATGGATCACTTGGGTTGTTACCGACATCTGGTGAAAATTTCATGTCATTAGCTCCTCTAGTAATATATTTACTGAGAAAAATGGTGATGTGTTCAATACTTATTTTACCTGCTGTATATATACAATTTTTCACAACTGAAGGGAACATAGTTACTTGATTGTGGTATATAATTGAACTATGTGCCTTGCCTACATAATACCACCCTTTAGCAGTGGTTCCCAACCCTGGTCCTCAAGGACCACTATCCAGCATGTTTTACTTGTTTCCCTGCTATTCAGCTAAAAATCACTGCTGTAAACGTTGACCAACACCTCAAGAGTTTCTCTGAGCTTGATGAGACATTTTCAAAACATAATATTGACTCAGTTTTATGTTTTTTTAGTATTGCCTCTGCAAGCCATTGATTCTTTGCCATTTATTTGAAAATAATAAATCAGATAACATGTATTAAAGCAGTGATTCTSAACCCTAGTCCTAWGGACTCCTTTCCTGCATGTTTAGATGTTTCTCTAATTTGACACACCAGCAATTAAAGTGTTAGAGGAAACCTGGTAATGAAAAGATATCTGATCCACATATCTTTTACGTAGACTTTCAACAAAGCAAGTGTCAAATATTAATTGTTGCCCAGTTTCTGTAGAAATGTGTGCCATTGTACTACTCCCTTGAATAGCAGCTGCACAAACATACAGGTATTGATTCATCAGACCTATAGGATTTGTCATGCAAGAAAACACTTAGTCTACATCAAGCAGAAAATTTTGAAGGTACTGAAAGTTTTGTTCTATTCTATAAAATGGTTTTCAACATAAAAGTGGTTTTAGATAAAACATTTTTTTTAATATTCAAGCCAGCCTGGCTTCCCAAAATTGAAAATATAGCATTTTCTTTCCTTTATCTTTCATTACTACAAAACTTGCCTTTTGCTGAAGTACTGTGTACTAGGTAGAACACCTCTAATTACTTTTAGTTAATTGGCTCACATGGGAAAAAAAACTATTTAGCCTTAAAAATTTGAGACTAATTTTGAAGGTGGAAATTCTTTTTTTAAATAGATTAAATTATTTTGCTTATTATTACAGGTCTGTGTGAAATTTTCCTCCTTATTCTGATAAAATCAGCCATGTCCTTTTGTCTCTTGTAGATTTTGTTCTATATTAGAACAAATATGGGTCTTCTGTTCTGAATGAGAATTCAATAACAGATGAAATCCCACCCAGATGATCCAGTGCTGTCTCAGAGTGAGACAAATTCTATTTTACTTTTGGAAAACTTTATGTCAAAGGTTCATTTTGATCTAGTTTGCATGGGTTTTGTATTGGCCTTGCATTGAAAAATATAGAAAATGTTGAGAATAAAAAAGGAGCTGACCTTTTTTTCCTTAAACAAACTTTATTCAGACCAACAACGTGTTTTTGGGAAGGTTGTCTTACGCTTGGAAATATGGTGATAACAAAAATTAGTGCTGATCAGATTCCAACAAAGGAACAGGACATTTTCCAGGAGTCTGATCAAAACCATTTTTTGTTACGCTGCCTTCTTCAGCCGTTCCCCAACGGTAAGAAAAAAATCTTACTACTATCACAATAGAAAGTTTTTAAACAAACTTTTATTTTATATTTTTGCATTTTGATTGGCAGTTAGATGTTAGAGTTTGCAGTCATTACTGCGCTGAGTTCTGAGTTCAGGATTTTGCAGCAGTGACTGTCAGCCTAACTACAACAGCTTAGCTGCTTGCCAACAGTTAATACAACAATTGACTGGCTGCCCTGTTAAAAAAGCCCGTCACTGAACTTGCCATTGTGATTTTATTTTATTTTTTTCTTCCATGTTCCTTAAAAAAAAAAAAAAAACAAGGACCGCCGTGTAACTTCTTTTTAATCTTTCAGTTCCTCCTGAGAAACGATGTTTTATCTGCCGCCTGCTGAACTCCAGGAATATAACGCCATCACTACCAAAGCTAGGCAAGTGTTTTTATTTTCTCCTCTTTCTGATAATGACATTGAGCAGACTAGCAGCAACTCTTGCTGCTCCCGACAGTTCATTAGCACAAATTGAAGATTTTTTTTTTCCAGTTAAAATTACAAAACCAGCACAGTGGCTGGTGTGTTATTCAGATTTTATTTTTATTTTTGCCCACATTTGGCAGGTGCTAATTACCATCACTGTTCTAAATGTATTTGTATGTGATCATATCTACGTGCTCTCAACAGAATTAATAGAAGCATCCTAAAGAAATGGCAAAAGGAATGTATTTCCATAAGTCTGCATTTAGACACCARGATTGTTTCATTTTTCTACATCAAACGATTGTGCATGAACATCAGCAGCGGTACGAGAAGCTGCGTATAATGGAGTAAAAGAGGCATACTCATTGTGGAAAAGGATACATAATGGAGAAATGTAAAATGTGGGGGAGTATGGTGAAGGCTCCTTCTGCTTGACTGACCTACATAGGCAGCTTGCCTCTCACATCTCACTACAGCTCATCTTTAACCACCACAGGCCTGCACTCTCACACACGTTGAACATTTATCTGAAGTCTCTATTCATTCATTCATTTGCTGCCTCACTTTCTCACTCTTGCTTTACCGCTACCTCTTCCCAACCTTTTGGTCCCTCTATTAGCAATTTTATGTAACTTTGTGGCAAGCAAAACTGATTTAAACTGAATGAACCAAAACACTGCTTTGCTCCAGCATCCATACAAACAAAAACATTATAATATCTACATCTATTTTTTATTCATTAATAATAAATTCTGCTGACCTGGTTCTGTGGCAGAGGGGGTTGGCTCTGAGCATCAGGTGCCTGGCTCTGGCCCTGACTGTCATTGCCCCCCACCGGAGAGCCACGCGTGGTGGCTGTCATGCTCGCCACAGGGCAGATCTTGGCAATCTTGGCCTCTTAGGGAGCGCTGGCCAGGAGGGAAATCACAGCCACCTCAGCTGTAAAGCAGAGGGAAGAGAGCCCGAACACACGAGAGAGGGACACAAGCACCTGGAGATCTGGATGAGCTGCTGGGACCATTGCATAACCTGGTGTAGAGAAGAGAAATAAAAGTTAGCAGAAAGTTGTTTAAAGTTCATTCAGTACAAATGAGATTGATATTTGTTGAAATAATCATCTTTAAATCAGGGTTTGACAAGATTTGTTTTTTTCTTTACCTGCCCTGTCAATATGAAAAGTTACCTGCCCGAAACAAAAATGTTCAAAACTTGATAAAATATAAGAAAAACGTGTACCGTATTTGTACTATAAAACTATTAACATGGTTATACAGAGGTACACAATATATGACATCTGATTAAACAGATGCAAACATTGCAGACTGAGTCACTAACAGTTAGTCACTTATCAAAAATATCTTTAAAAACCTTATTTAGACCTTTCCAGTGTTTAACTAGAGTATTGGCCTTGGGAGGGCTGCTTATAAAAACAGAATAATCAACAGCAGCAGCTTTGTTTTAAAAACAATTTACAGAATATGAAAGTCTGCAATTTGCATTAATTGAATCTTATATAGTCTTTCTCATATCTAAAGATACATTTAAGATATCTTGAACTGGAGTCTTCCTACAGCTTAATGATAAATCTAATGTTATTTATACTA